GGAAAAAAAAAAAAAAAAAAAAAAAAAAAAAAAAAAAAAAAGTCTTTAAAAGCTTAGGCTATCATCAGCGTTGGGAAAGTGTTGCAGAAACATTATAGGGATATTGGTGATGTTTACTGAGAAGACTCCAAGAATACAGGTGACTGTTCTATGTATGTTTGAGCTCTCAGAGGCCACCAACCAGTGGTTAGTAAAATAAGTAAGGCATTTGGCTGAATTCGTAATTTCATTTTTATTAGTTAACACTCGATCATTAATACATGATGGCTCACAAAGATATTAAAGATGATATAATTTTCATACATTTCTATTTTTTAAGATGGAATAGCTGACATTTGTAATATCTGAATTTTGGAGGAAATTTATTATCCTGACTAATGATCGCTCTTAGGAAATATTGCCATTAAACGGCTGTTATATCAAATTGCAGAAAACAGTTCCTAAAGGATGCCATAAAATGAAGACATTGGTCTAGTAGATTTCACCTATGTCATTGTTGAAAAACTGTCACAGTGTGATAGGTGGAAAATCTAATTATAATTTTAAGTGCCCACCTTCTGTACCATTTTGTCCAACATTAAGCCTTAAAACGGAAAGTCTCTTTTTGCAAACAAATTTATTTAGTATATTTGTTATTTGTTTGTGCATTTTCTAAAAACCAGCCTATACCTACTAGAGTTCTTAGAATGAGGCTGAAAAATATTTAAAGTCTAATAGGAACTTTTATTTCTTTTTCCTGCTGGTCTTTTGATTTTTGAGTGACAGGGTTGAAATAGATGTTCTCTCTCTCTGGACATTTCCACATCTGCAATGTTAAGTTTGATTTGCCAGGAGCACTTACATATTGAGGTTTACCGGAGCCTGAAGCAGTGTTTCCTCTTGCCTCTTGATACAGCACTTGTCTTACGGCAACGACAGCTTGCATGTGGACGCCGCCTTCCAGCAGACCCTCTGGAGCGTGGCCCCCATTAGCTCGGGGAGTGAAGCAGCCCAAGGTAAAAACTCCATTTCAATTAGAGGGCTCGTCCCTGATGCAGAGTTGACAATCATCTTTGGAATTGTGATAATGAGCTGATTATTAATTAAAGCTTTTTTGTGTGTCAAAATATTCCATAATTCAGATACATGACATTTAAGAATCTCGTTTAAATTGCTATTGAAAAGTGAAGCTTGGGTTAGATTATCTTTCTTTACTTTTATGCAATCATCAGCTTCACCTTATTTGTGTGTATTTTATGTGCTAGCTTTCTGGGGGTGTTTTTCTCCAGTGTTTTGGCCTCTGGGTATTGCTCAGTGAGGCTAATGTCAAGATTTCTCATGTTCCTGGGAGGTGCTTTGTAGCTGGATCATAATAATGTTGATGCCACAGGGTTGTTCTGGTTATTCTCACTTAAAGAGGTTCGAATCTGATCCCATGTGTGTTTATATATGTGACGGAGGATGTGTGGTTGAGGTCATGTGGCCTACTGGGAATGTCACTTCCTGGGAGGTGCTTTGTAGCTGGATCATAATAATGTTGATGCCACAGGGTTGTTCTGGTTATTCTCACTTAAAGAGGTTCGAATCTGATCCCATGCGTGTTTATATATGTGACGGAGGATGTGTGGTTGAGGTCATGTGGCCTACTGGGAATGTCACTAACTGCAGGACTTGAGCCTGGGACTCAGAGGGCCCAGCTGGCACCATTCATCTGTGGGACCTTGGCCAGAGACTTCAGTCTCACTAGACTTCTCTTTCTCTGTCTATGAAAGTAGAAGATTAGACCTGATGATGATCTGTCCAGCTATCCACGTGACCTTGACAGTTCAAATGTGAATGACTTTTAATCCTCCAGGGTATCTGATTGGTGGTGACGTCCTGAGGTTGCTGCATGGACACATGGACGAATGTCTCACTGTCCCTTCAGGAGAACACGGTGAACAGCAGCGGAGGTTGGTACTTGAGCCCAGGGCATTAAGCTTTGCATTTTTTTTACCTTGATGTCATTTTTTAAAAAATTAAGGCTATGTCTATTCAGGCCATTAGCATAATGCAAGACGGGCCACCGACATTCATCTGTGCACTGAAGTGATCCATCGGTTGGCCTCCTTAGAAGTTTTTTTACGTTGTGTTTTTATTACCTGTTAATAGAAGAGCTGAAAAATTCTGTGTCATTTCAACACACTAAGAAGCATTGGACAAAATAAACTGAGTGAAAGGAGCGAATACATCACATTAAACTACTTAAAACTCCATTAAATGTTCATTAGTGTTGATTCATTCATTTTCTACAATGTTTAGTCTCCAATTCAGTTTCAAAGTCATAGTTCTCAAATTGCACAAAATTTCAGTACCCATTTCTGCTATCTCCCATTTATTAACATAGATAATAAACTCGACCTCTTTTTCTCCTATTTTATGTTATATAGTACGTCTCTCATGTTAATATTATTTGGCATTGAGATAAGATTTAACTAGTCTAGATCCACTGGGAAAAGTACCCAAATATTACAAAACCTTAGAAATATTTAGGGTGATTTGATTGCAAATTAATTGATAGGTAGTAAGCTGAACACATAAATAAGAGATTATAATGAGAGAAGGTTTGTTATGTGTCTTTAACTTTTTTAGTAAATATTTCTCCCAATACCAACATAGACAGTTAGGTAATATTATTTCATAGATATTTGTTGTTGTAATTTAATAAAAAGATATAGGGAACATTTAGGAAATTAGTAATCATTTGACCTGCTGGATAACCTCAGGAAAAGTCACAGTGACACCGGGTACTGGATCCTAGTCACCCCACTCTCAGCAGGCAGCTCTGGGTTATGGTGCAGCGTGAACGAACAGCCTGGAAAAATCCCCTCCGCTCAGTGGGCTGTGTTTAGTAGGTCAAGAAGATGTTGATGGTGTTCATGGCATTTATATAAAAGATGGAGGGGATTTCAAAGGGTGATTCGTTTGAGGAATGAATTCCAAGTGGAAGGGCAGATGTAAGAAGCCCAGGGGGATGGCAGTACGTTCCGGGTACAGCAGTTATTTTGGGGTGATGGGGGAAGAGGAATGCAAGGCAGAAATGGGGTGGGAGAGAGGGTTGATCAGCTCTGGAAGGGTCCTCAGTGCGGTCCCATGGGTGGGCTTTTCCTCTGAGGTGGTCAGGGAGGAGCTGGGAATGGGTGGAATTGGAGGATCTCCTTTGAAAGAATAACTCTGGCGAGAGGAGCTTAGAGTTGAGGTGGGGAGAGGGGATTGTCAGGGAAACAAGCAGGAGAGGGATGGGGTAGCCGTTTTCATGTGACAAGAGATAAGAACTTGAACCAGAGAGCGCCATCAGGACGGAGAGGACCACCTGAACCAGAGACATTTCATGTGACATTGATGGGTTTGGGAGGAAACTAGATGTGAACTGTAAGAGAACGTGTCAAACCCAGGGAGGTCTGATGTTTCTGCCTCTGGGGGAGAAAGATGGTGCAGGGTTGTAGGAGAGGGGACATATTTGATAAGAAACATGTAACTTTCTTTTAAACTTTGGGCACAGCTGAGTACAGAGGGCCTGTGGGATAGCAAGTAGGAACTGGGGATTTCTGTCTTTAACTTTAGGAAAGCTTGGGTTGGATCTGAATTACAAGTGCATGTAGGCAGTTGAAGGAATGGGAGTCTCTCATACATTCCTTCAGATGGACAGCCGTGATTAGGGGGATATGTCCATCAATTTGGTCATTGCTTTAAAAAGTCTGGGAAGCCCTGGGATAGACTAAGCAGATGGGAGGCTAAGAATGGAATCCTACAGAACACTGATATTTAGGGTGTGGAAAGAGGAAGAAGATTTAGCCTGAGAGTCAGAATGATAGTTTAGTGGGGAGCCAGGGAAGTTGGTCATGGAAGCCAAAGGACAATTGGGTGTGGGTGTGTTCAGTGCTATGACATAATCAGACAGGGTCAGGGGTAAAACGAGGCTGTGCCAGAATCTTTTGGGTCTTCAGTGTCTGACTTGTTAAATGGAAGACTTAGAACCAGTGATTCTAAGAGCTCTTCTAGCACTTTCTACAGACACTGTAGAGATTTGGGGTTAAGGGAATGGACTCTAGAGCAACAGATCTGGGTCTGGGGCCCAGCTCTGTCCCTTCCCAGCTGTGTTACTCATGCAGGTGACTTAGTTTCTATAAATATTGGCTTTCTCCTTTGTAAAGTGGAAGTTAAATAATATCTTCTCCTTCACAGGGCTGTTGTAAAGAGTAAATAAAATTACGTAAAATATTTGGTGCCTATGAAGAGGTTAACAATTTTTTATTGTTGCTGTTATCCCTATTATTTAAACTGAAGAGGCCACATTTAGCTAGGTATGATGCAAAAGTTTGAGGGACCCTGGGCACGTGGGGAAAAGTATGATAGAATGAAGACTGTAGAAAGAGAGGCTGAACTGGATCAAGGAAAATCCTTTACAGCTAGTTATTATTGGAGAAAAAGCTGGGGGAAATTTTGAAGATATTTTGGTATTGCCTTGGACCCACTCTCCTATGCATACCTGAGTCTTTTAAGTCTTCAGTCCTTGACTCTTTAAATAGAAAACCGGGAAGACCAGGGAAGCTGGTCATGGAAGCCAAGAGCTGGGGTATACACAGGATAGCTCAGCCCAGAGGCAGCATGTCCTCTACTGATATGAATCTGTGCTGGGGAATAAACTCATCATCATCACCTAAAAATAATATTTTAATTTATTAAAAACAGAGTAAAAACAGTGATTTTTTGGGCAGTGATTTGAACACTGGAGAAGTTCCAAAGAGATATATTTAATTTTTTTAATTTCATAGCTCTTTGCTGTCATTATGATCTGGCTGTACTCATTAATTGTATTTCAGTTATTTAAGTTAAATTACTGAAGTCAAATCGGTTTTGTTGTAAGATGTAGTGGAAATGATTAAGGAGATGGCCGGAGACGTTTACTTCTGAGAAGTTTAGGAATATTTGGGTCATAAATGCTGTGTTCTTGAATGGACTTGTCAACCTGCTCATGCCTGTTTTCATGGACAATTATTAAATATGCATAACTATAATTGTAGCTACTGGAAATACAGTTCAATGATGAGCTCTATAATTCCAGATACCAATAGTATTATCTTTTCCTTCCTCTTTACATTAGGTACGTCTGTGTATGTGGTTACCTGTCATTCTCATGAAGAATATTCATAGAACTCTTAGAATGAAGGGCACATTCAATTAAATGGCATTGAATCGGAGAGCGCAGCGTATCAAAGTTAAACTAAACATATATTTTCCTGCATTCCTGCCCATATTGACTTTGTGGGTGGAATTCTGACATGTTCATAAAACACTACATCACTATCGTTTTAAGTTGCTTGGGATTTTCCATGAAGACACATATGTAGCTTTAAAACGACTGGTGTACAACTTGTCTAAACAATAATAAAAATAGTAAGAATATAATCTATAGTAGTTCTGAGCAGTCAGGTACAAGTTGGAGAGTCCTTGAGTATTAACTGTAGTGCCATAATTTCTTAGCTCTTAAACCTTCAAATAGTAAGGCAGAATGAGTTAAGGAGAAAGTGGTTCTGGGCTTTGGCAAGGGATTTGTCAGATGCAATGTGGTGTTTTAATTATTGCTTTAAAAATAGACTTTCATTCTGGAGGCCCAAAATTTGATTACAAAATTTTATTTCAAGCACGAAATATTTCATATGGAGAGTATTTTCTGTTCCAGATTTTTTCTCTGGATTGTATCTCATTATTTCCATCCATAATTCCATGCAACGATAATAAAATATCAACAAAGACATTTTCTTTATGTGCACACACATTTATGGATTAAGTATGTTCTATGTGAATAAAGTATGTCATACTTTTCCATGAATAATTCTTAAAATGGGCAAATTAGGGAACTGTTATTTGAGATCTCTGATTTGGAAACCAATATTAGGGAACTGTTGTTTGAAAAGCATTATTTGTATGTTAAAAACAGGTTTGCTACATAGCTCGTAAGTTTTAATCATTTAATAAAAATGTGTGGAGTGACTATCATGTTCTGGGTGCTGGGGCTACAGTACTATTTAAAAAGATGCAAAGTCTCTTCTCAAGGAGTTTATTCTAGTGGGGATATGTGGCAATAAAAACATAAATATGTTTATTTATAAATGCACACACAGACACACCCATGTATGCAGAGAAAAAATGTGTAATGTGATTAAGATCAATGGAGAAAAATAAGGAAGGGGATGGAGAGTGTTCCTGGTGTGTGTGTGTGTGTGTGTGTGTGTGTGTGTGTGTGTGAGAGAGAGAGAGAGAGAGAGACAGAGACAGAGACAGAGACAGAGAGACAGACAGACAGACAGACAGACAGACAGACAGACAGAGAGACAGGACAAAGGCTGTTCTTCTCCCACCTTATCAGGCATTAGTTTTAGCATATACTTGCTCTGCCTTGACCCTTTCAAATTCAGAACAATGAAGTTACACTTGCTGACACTACCTAGAATTGATTGCTACGTTTGTTTTCCAGAATGTGACTCAGCAAGCAGAAGTTGTGCTGTGTGTGTGCATGACAATATTTTTACCTCCATGCCCCTTTTAATATTATGATGATTTAATGAGCTTTAGTTGTAAATAATTGATAAGGCATGAAATGGGCTTGATATAATGAATTAAATGTCTCTTGGTCTGGCTTAGAAGATGATGCATGGTTTATGTCCGTGTTCACAACTGGATGACTACTATGCTTGGAGGATATTCGTATGTCCTCTGTCACTACCTGGGAGGAAGCTTTTAAAGCTGCTCTGTTGTGCTCCCAAATGGTCAAGGATGCAGTTATCCTGTAAGAGCTTTTCTTCCTCCTTTCCTTCTTCATGTCCTGTGCATGTCTTCAGCCTGGGTCTGGGAGGAGGATGAGTTTGCTAAACAGTTTTGATGGAAGAATCGGGACACACAGGACAGCTGT